GTGTCGTGATGCTCGATCGTTCTACAGACACTTTTAATCCGTTTTTAATAAGTAATCCGGGTATCATTGTCTCGACCATCTGTCCATCGTGAGCAGTTGGTAAGTTTAGACTTCGACGGTCGATGGCCTGTGTATTTGCTGTCTCTTTAAGAAATCAAAGGCAATTGGCGGTTTCGTGTCTTTTTATCTCTCGTCGAGAGATCGGTGAAAATTCTTTTTCTTTTATTAATTTATCTATCGTTTTCTAATTGAACAATTTCGATATTTAGTTACAATACGTTCGCTATTAATTTATATTTAACACTACTTCAACCTTAGAACTTGGAACTTTATTATTAAGAGAAATCAAAAGTTATGTCGATAATTTTAGAAATTGATTAACATTTTTAAAGGAATTATTTCAGACGATTTCATAGCAATGATATAATTAAAACTTAAAAATTTTTGAATCATCAAAATAAAAAAACAATCGTTACTTGGAATCATAATAAAATAAGTTTCCAAATTATGAGTTTCAAATTTTAACGTAATGTTCCTATACTTTCCTATAGCGATTCGAAACTTATTTTTTCCCCCCGGAATCCCAATTTTCGAGTTATATCATTGTCGCAGCAAACGATCAACATTTAAATATCAACTATCGCTATCAAGTCGAACAGAATAAATATTTCAAACTGAACCGAGAAGAATCAGAAGAAGCTCGAAAATTATGTTACGAGGACTGTCGAGGATAATACAAGATATTCGATGACACGTCGTTACATAAATGTTGGGTAACCGTTCAAAATTCATCAGACGATGAGCCAACAGAAAAACTAATTCCGAGATAACATTTCGTCCGGGAAAGATTAATCATCTTCGTGACATAAATCAGGTAAAATTCGCGTGAATTCTATTGGCCGAGGAGATAGATAGACGGATGAAAAGAGAGGAAAGGTTGTGATTTGTTCGTCTTTTTTACAAGTAACGAGAGAACGGACGAGCGAGCGCCGAGTTATAATATATATATATATATATAAAAGTAGTCTAGACAGGCCAGACGGATGCATCATCACCATCATCGTCGAGCGAGAAAGCGAAACTCGAGTCGAGCCGTTTTGCTCCTGAACGTCTCGCGAAATCGTCAATCGAGTAACGAGCGCTCATTTTACGCGCACGATAACGTGTCTGTCGCTCGATTATGATCTGTTCTCGTCTTTCCACTCTCTGTACCCTCTTTTCGCCAATTTCTCTCTATTCCCTCCCTTGTTTTCTTCTTACTTTCTGCCTCCTCGAGGGGCTGATCGCGAGGAGTCGTTCCAGCCAATGAGGGTGTTTAATTGGATGTCGGTGTGACTGTTCAGATGATCAATGGTTTGATACGTAGTTATTGGAACTTACTTAACCGGTACAAATTGTAAGATAAATTAGAAAAAGGAAGATGGAAAAATATTCGGATATATAGAATGATAAATTTTTAATAAAAATGTAAGCATCTGTATTGAGAAGATAAAATTTGCAAAAAACAATGGTAAACGTCGAATGTATACTTCTTCTGAATATTTAAACAATATACTTTTTATACTAGATCAAAAATTTATTATTAACATTTATAGTTCTGCTATTTCAATATAACGTTTTTTTTATTACTTTGTTTTTACTTGATACTTTTGAGAATAATTGTATTTACTTTGTCTTTCTGGACAACTTAATGACAACTTATTTCAAATGCTTTAGAATTTAATTATGATGATGAAATATATAAAGTATAAGATGATATTGTAGATCTTTATTTTTAATAAATTAAAATAATGGATAACTTTTTCTTTAAAAAATTCTTGTTTGTTAATAATATATAGATAACAAGATAATAATTTAAAATATTATCAAAATTTTTTATATATATTACATCATTGGTGATATTTTAACATTTTGATTTTAATATAATATTAAAAAAAAAAAAATCAAATAATCAATGCTATAAATTAAAACCAAGTATTAATCTGATTAATCTGTTGAGATCATTTCACATATTCAAAAATTATGAACCATGTTTATTATTATTTAGGAATGCAATATGGAATTTGTATGATTTGAAAGATTTATAGAAATTTATCAAAACTTGTTCACACAAATATTTATACCAATTTATAGTGATATAATAATGTAGCGAGTTGTGTTTAAAAGTAGTGCTTTAACTTTATGAATCTTATACCGATTGTAAATTAATTTTGCATGGACAATTTAGAAAAATTGAAACGGCAACTTTGCGGCAAGAAAACTCTTAAAAATTAATACAGCGACCCAATACTTATCAAAACCGTGTTAATTATTATATTTCATAATTCCTTAGTTTACCGTTTCCTTAATGAGTTATTTCTGCTGCTTGGCGAATTCCACGTAGGCGAAAGTAAGAACACTCGACTGCGTTAAAGCCTGTAAACCATTCGCCTGTATTGCATTTTGCAGCTGCTTCAAACTTATAAACGAGGTTCTTTTAAGATACAACAAGTGGGCAAAGAAACCTTATGAAATGCATCTCGAGATTTTCCGAGGCGCTTGACTGTCTGTAAAACGGCTGAGATTCCTTGTAATTCATACCAGTTAAGATTTATTGCGATAAATTCTATCTTCTTGTATTGTGCGTCTTCGATTTTGTAACTTTTAATTACTTATTATCACTTATCTTTAAATTTATTCGAATAACTTATAGATACGGTATAAATTAATTTAACGATTAAAAATTTTACTTGTAGACGTGATAATACTAAATTCGTTCTAACAAACATTCTTATTTAATTTAGATAGATAATTTTTCTGAGATTTTTTTTCCAGATTCCTTGCAATTTATTATATTGTAATTTTATAACTTTTAATTATTTAATGATTTATTTAATTTACTCATTCGTGGAGTATAAATTGATTCAACGATATTTTAAAGAAAATTAAAAGTATTATTATTTATGAAGAGGATAATATTACAAAATTTTTCTTTTCAATCTTTTAAGTTGAATATTCTTATATAATTTCTTCTATTATTTTTTCAATATATATATATATACATATTCTTCATAATTTAAAGATATTTGAAATAAAAAAAGAAATTAATTTATCCCGAAAGGAATATCACGAAAAATTTTACATTTCTTCGTATTAATAAATAAATATCATTTACATATGTGTATATATATATATATATACACAATAAAAAATTTCATTTTTCTTTTATTCATATTTAAAATTTCATATTTCACTTTTATTTCTTGCGTCTTATTTGTCAATTTTTTTATCGTTTCATTCGTCTCTCTCCCCGGAGAGATGGAAATTCTTAGATATTTTTATCTACAGCCAGATCGGACGTTGTTTTCGTGCTCCCGGCCGGAATCCTTTCCTCGTGTTTCCTTTTTATGCTCTTCCCATTCTTTCGTTTTCGTCTCTTTTCCTTTCAACCAAGTAAGTCAAGTGTCGACGAAGCTAGATAGGGCCTCATTTACAAGCCAGACAGGGGAGTCCACTTGCCCCAAATACGCGTCGAGAGAGGGTATTCTGCCCAGTGGTTGCGACTCAAAACTTAAAATAACCCTTCCTCGATAAGAGCCGACGCCGAATAATCTTTCGTTTCTTTGATTTCGTTTCTTTTCTCTCTCCCTTATACTCGTTTCGATATAATGCGTTGAGCATCGTATAAAAAAAAAAAAACAAGACAAGCATAGGAACAATCAGTGAGTAATTATATGTATAAGAAGTAGAATTGAGTATTACAATTTCGGATCATGAGACATGGGGATTCAGGGGAGAAGAGAGTTTACTTTATATTACTCCTTTTTTATTAAAATTAAAACTATGAGATAATAATTTATTGAAGCATTAGATTGATCAGAAAATTCCATTCCTAAATTTTTTTGATCGGTATTCTATAGATTTGTAATTTTATTTCAGGATATTTATTTCGTTAAATTGTAGATGAAAATGAAATGCACGCTACTATTTATAAATCACAAGATATCTATGATTTCTTTCATTTCTAATAGCACAGTATGTAACTTGATATAAATATCTATCTGGTATTACATACCTTGATATAAATTGTGAATTTTAATCGTATATATTTTTTTTTATATCGATAATTTATTAGCATTTTTAGCATTCTCACATTCTCATTATTATTTTGAAATTCGTGAAATTAATACCTGTTAATATTTATCTAATTCTTTCTATCTCTCTTCGATTTGATAAAAAATTCATCGAGTATATTATATAATAAATTTAATATTTTTAAAAATATTTCGTAGAAATAAATGCAGAAACGATATCTTATTTTATTGTTGCATTATAAAAAAGTATTACATTTATTTCTCTCTAGCTTTTCATTCTAAAATATGCATTCTTTTCATAGATAGATACAATTCTAAATAAGTATGTAAATCATATACAGTGAAAAGCATTAAAATCAATGGTTTGCAGTTTGAATAGGTTTCAATTTTAAAAATTTTTTTAAAATATAACCTTTAGTGGCGCGAGTGTAATAAAGTAAATTCTTAAATTATAAAATTTTACTGCTGTATTATCTTGTTGCGAAAAATATTTCCAGGTCAAGTATTCAAAAAATATTGAATTACGAGAATCGATTTCAAAGTAATATCCTACTAAAAAATAAATTATTTCAACTTCATAACTTATTATATGCTCTACATACACAACAATTTCCCTATAATATAGCGTACGAATTTTCAGTCCCTCACTGTAAATAATATCTCTATTCTTTATCTACCATTTCATAAAACACGCATTTCGTAAAAATTCAACGAATACATCATACATTTTTATACAAAACCTGTCTTTCCTCCTCCTCGTATCTTTTACGTTTAAGAAAAATCCCTCTAATCGTTACATATCCGTTTACTATAATTAAATGGAATGGATAAGAAAGGATAAAAAAAGAAATAAGAACGCGTTTATGTAAAGCACTACGTGGGAAGAAAAATCCTCTTATCATGTATTCATTTATGCTCTGCTTGCAGGTATCTTTGACGAATAATCCGAGCAAAACCGGTCTCGGCGCGACCAGCGAATTTCCTACAATCGAGCTAGATTCTACGACGGAAAAGAAGCAGGCGTTATGGCGAAAGACTCAACAACGTTACAAAGAAATATCCGACCATGCGAAATAATTGCACTGTGAAAAACGCCCGATTTGCATTGCACAGACTTTTTCATTTTCTTGCCACGGTAAGCGAAGACGATTACGTTCGACCGTAAAAATCCTATTATTCTGACACAAGGGATGAGAATTTTTTTTTTTTTTTTTTGCAAAATGTTAATGCCTATTATTAGATTTCAACACAAGGAATATTGTATCATATATAATAGTCTTTGTTTAAAATAGTGTTGAATTTTTTATATCGATCGTAATTTGTACATAGAAAGAGAAATGCATAGAAATTTGAGCGAAATGATTGTAAAGAAGAAGAAAAAAGAAAAATAATTGCGAAAAATTGTATTGTCCATCTTTGTTATAAATGAAAGTTTTGACGCATCCATTTGTAATTTTCTTTCTTGTGTGAATTGTGAATATTTCTGCAATAAAGGATACGTTTATTATTGTATATATTTTTATTGTACAATTGATGACAAAAGTATATTCGACTTTTGTTTAATGTTTAATGTGTTTTAAAAAAAGAAAAATTGAAATGGATTTAGGAAAAAAATAACTCGAAATCTATTTCTCTTTTTGAGAAATGTTTAAAAGTAGAAAATACAAAGTTAAAAACTTAGTTTCGAATAATTTTGTATCCAACTCATATATATATATAAGTTTATAATTATTCATTTAATTATATATATTTTAAATTCCAATTTCTACTTCACTTATTAAAAATAAATCGATAACAAATTATTATAATAAATAAAAAATTATCAATTATTTTAATATAATGTTACTTGAATTAATTAATTCAAATAAAACATTGTCTGAAGATAATTTAAAATAATTTATTATATCAATTTATTATTGCAATCTTAATATATCTATCTATTAGAAATCATAATTCTTCTATTTTCATGTCTTAGCCTTTTGCACTAAGATTTATTGGATTAAGATTATAAGATATTTACATATTTACATTAACAAAAATATTATTATTTAATTTCGTTAAAATGTAAAAAGTTTAGTTAAAGTTTTTCATGAAAATGAAATATATTACAGATATTATTGTTGAGAAATAATTTTGCAATTTCTGGAAAATATAAATTTCTATAAAAGTTTTGCTCGAGTAAAAAAAAAAAAGGTATATTTATTATAATATTATTAATTTGTTAAACAATACATTGTCATCAATCAAATTTCGTACGAAATTAAATGCAAAGATAAAAATTATACGAATTATAATACAAATATTATTAAAAACTTATTTATATACACGTTATATGTACATTTCTAATTTTTACACACGTGTTCTCAATTATTTTTACTAATTTATAAATATCTTAATTTACAAAAAAAAAACTTTTTCCAGAATGTCTGTGTCGCGTGAAGTGCGAATCTTTTCAATCGTGAATCGTCGAAAGATGCTATTTTCTATCACCATTAAACCGTCAATATCATCACAAAGGAAAGGATTTAACGAGGGGAGGATACACGTATAAATAAAATAATCATAGAATCCCGGATCGAAAACACGTACGTGTTTTACACGGATTCGTTGCAATTGAAGCAAAGAAAGGCTTAGACTGTTCATTTCATCCCAAGATACGGTTCGTTTCTCTGGACACTCCGGTGCACCGGCGATATTTATAAAGCAAACTTCACGGTGCAAAGACCTCGGCGCAAGTGTACCGAGCCGAGCCGTAAGTTTAGGCCAAGCCCTTAACTCCTTCGGCACATCGTGCGGTTTTCATAATAAACTGCTTCCACCGATCCTCGATCTCCATTATTTTTACGACGCCGTGTGGCCGAGACGTTTGTCACGATTTCGAACCGGTCGCGAACGGGACGATGATTCTCGCTATGACGTTGTCTGATCGGTCTATTAAGTTTTCTGGATGATTTAACGTGGAAGGTTCTGCGGTCTCCACAAGATGCCATTTGATTCATTTTTATTTAATCCGTTGAACGTTGATTTAATTTGAAAACCAATTTTCTACTTAAATTCGATTTCATTTTTTTTCCTTCAAAAATAATAACAGATGTTACGTGTAAAAATTCATATATTTCTATAAAGTAACTGATGTGAATTCGTGTGAAGTGATGGGGAATGATTCCAAGTCTATTACATATTGTGAAAAGAAGAATAAATTAATTATTTTAATAAATAAGAAATAGTCAGTAATTCTGAAGAGAGTGATATTTTTCAAAGAAAATAAGAAAATGCAGTTCAATAATAATACTTTAAATCATTAAAAAAAAAAAAAAAAGAAACGAATTAAATTATTTTAAGTTTTAGAGAAGAATTATTATAATATTTTTAATCTTTGCACAGATTACTTAAAAACTGTTTCTCTGTTTAGTTTATTTTTCCAGTTGATTATACTTGATAAGAATGAGAAGTACGTAGAATTCGCACATAACTGGTAATTTAAAGTTGAATTATTAGCCTGAAGATGAGGGAAGTTCACGGGAAGATTCATGGGACGACGAGACTGCAATTCTCTTAAGAAGACAATAAGACGTCATGCATTTTGTGTGCCGTTCATTTTGACCACTTTATGATGTTATTGTTGTGTCAGCTTTTATTAATATAAGGACAACTATATTTGACAGAAGTACTTTTTACAGTGATTTGTGTTTATTTAATATCGATGATTAATAATAGTTCAATATTATTTTCAATTATACATATCAAGAAATTTTTATTACAAAAATTAATTACTATTTATTAAATAATATTGTATTTGAAAGACATTATTTAACGAGATACTCCATGATAAATCTATTTTTATATTTTTGATCGTTAAAATAGTGTCTTTTGTATGACATAATTAAAAAGATGAACCAAGAGGATATTATTATTTTATGTATTTTATCAAGAAATCAAGTATCTTTGCTCGATATTCAAAAGGATGGTAAAAATGCCAACAAAAGTTACAAAATATAATTAATTGAAATCGAATAAAAATTTAATCTTGATAATGTACACTCCTCTCTATAGTTTTTATTTATTCTTCATCCTTCATTCAATTGTACAAATATATACCACCAGCATTCTAATCGTATTTTCAACACAGTCATCGTCTTATTTGGAGTTAACGAATGCAACGCCATCTTGCATCCATTTTCACAGAAAACGCTCGTAAATGGATTTAACCATGAACAAGGTTGTCGTCGTAAAATACGAAGATAAGTGGCGGGGAACATGGAGCTGACAAGCGAAGAAACGAATTAGTCTCTTTAATTATCGAACCCGACACAACTCGTGTTCTTCGTTCTTTTTGTTAAATAAGTTCAAACGAAGACACTCCGTTATCGATGCAGAAGATCAGACATCCGGATTAGGTGAGAATTAATAGAGCACGTGAAAGTGCGTGTTACATCTTGCGCGCAAGCATGTTTCTTCAGATTATTTATCCACTTTAGATTACTCTAGTGAATGTATGACAGGCATATTTCACCAGTGGCGAAGTTTCCATTTTATTTCCAAGAATCTCTCTAATCGTGCTTTTCTGCGCCTTTTCATATGTTTATTCAGTTTGAAATGAACCACGTGATTCTGTCGTGAGATTAAACGAGTTACAAAGTGACTATTCATGCATTTGAACATCTGCGAAAAACTTGATAAATCCATTGTTATTGATTTTCTATTTTTCGCATAATCTATCTAGTGATCATCTAAAAAGGAGTACTTCTAATTCTATGTGGTCCATGAATATTTAATATAAATAAATATGAAATAATTTATAATTTTCTGAAATAAAACCATTGTTCAAACAGACTAGAATAAAATCTATGTTCACTTGTATTAAACAGAAGAATCTTAAAAGAGTTAATCTTTAAAATTAAAAAAATGACTCTTAATAAGTTAGAACTCAAAGTACTTCGTTTCATGATATACTTATAATTTAAATAATAAATAATAATCTATCTATGTCAACTAATTAGATTTTTTTAAATTATCATTATATGAAAAATTTCTATTCATCATCATTATAACATTTAAAATTCTTCTAATCTTCTTATAGTCTTTAATTTCTTCCAGTCTTTAATTTTCCTTTCTCTATTTTTTCATCAATATAATATAAGATATATTAGATGTTTCGTCTCATTTTCTCGTATTCTAAACGAAATTTTCCTACAAAAGCAGATGTTCTAAGCAAATTGAAGCTAGAGAGGGTCTACCAATTCATTTAGAAGAGGTTGACTCGATATATAACCTCAAGGGGTTAATAGCCCTTCAGTTGGGTGTTTAAATAATTTACAGATGTAGGCCGTGGTCGGTTCGATCGTTAGACTGACAATTAGCGAGGAAGAATTCATTGCTGGCCTGGATAGCTCAATTGGTTAGATCGATCATTGGACGATGAAAGGTCTCTGCTCGTGTCCTGCTTCGACAAATCTAATCAATCGATTCTCTCTGTTTCTGTAATTTTAAAAATTGATCTCCACGCTTATCTCTCGGCGATTGATCGTTTCATTTTTTCTTTAAATTCCCGGTAATGGTCGGTTTTTACGGGCGGAAAATGGAAGATAGTGGCATTTTTCTAACGTTAGGGGTGAAAGGAATTATCGATGGCCTGGATAGCTTAATTGGTTAGAACAGTCGTTCGTTGAAGAAAGGTCCGAAGTCAAGTCTTGGTTCAACTGATTCAGCAAATCCAATCAATCGATTCTTTCCCTATTTACAGAGGTCTAAAGTAGAACTAATTCAGTTCATAATAGTGATTGACAAGCCATAAAAATGATTACATTTTAATTCACAAGATAGACGTATTTACATAATTATTTTCTTACTTATTAGTAGCACTAATTAGTATTAGCACTAGTTTAGTATTATAGATTCTGGTTTTTAAATTAAAATTCTTCAAAATTTTTAAATTTCTTAATATGAACATTTAAAACGATAGTATAAATGATCCATTTAATAAATATTTGAAAGTTTTTAAATAATATGAAGATATTTTTCAAGATTTGTAGAGAGTCGATTAACTATTTTTCTACGTTCATTGTATTTTTTGGACTTGTTTTAATTTAAACAAAATCTTCGTTGTATTTAAATTATATGAACTTTTAACAATAGATTATTATTTTACTTATCTATTTCTAGCACTCATAATTTTTTATACCATAATGCAATAAAATCTTTATATTTTTTTCTAGTTTCTAATTAAATATCATATTTCAGCATCTTTTATAATGAAAGTAAATGAATTAATTATATTTAGTAGAAAAAAAAATTTCAACAATGAATGTATCTTGAAAAAAGATTGTTTCAATGATTTATACAGATAAATAAAGATTTACGTTTTGTCTTAAAAATATAGCAATTTAATTATCTCATATTTTTTCTAATTTTTTTAAAAATTAATTGTCTGATTGTCTGGCAACTGAGAGAAGACATGGTAACTGGACCGTTTATCCTATAAGTTAGCTTTTTATTCGTTTAATTAGAATTCCGA